AAGAGGAAATTGAGTAACATGAGGGATCGGAAAATCCAACAACTTAAATCAGTCAAACCGGGATCGTTTGACAGGTCGCGAACTAGAACGGGTAAAAGACCCAGAGCTTCCTTGGGTAACACTTCGCAGGCTGGACACTTCGGGTTCTACCCGAGAGGCAGTTCGTTTACCGAATTTAGATTTCACACTAACGTCATCATCAAACCTCGTTCCTTTCGCCTTCCCACCGAATCTATTTTTCTCGGACACATTCTCTCGTGATTCTTCGATCCTATCCATTCGCGAGAAAACAGCCGACACTTCGTCAACTTCGTCTGGCGCGAGGAAAGAGTTTTGAGTGTTGAACGATGTCAGGGTTTCACCGGACACAATCTCTGATGGATGGGCCACGAAGTGCAGCTGTTTCCGGAATCTGCGGTCATCGCAGACAGAAGCGTTCGAATCAAGACGAACAGAAACCGTTTCCTGAGCTGGTGTTTCAACCCTAGTTAAATCCCGGGTTTCGACACAGTTCAACTTCGAGTCATCGAGAGTCAAGCGAAGCATCGTTCTGTTCAGCCAAGTGTCATTCAAACACGACTCCTGCTTCACAGAAGGTGTTTCCTCTGAAATCATTTCAGATTCATGCTCCTCAGTTCGTTGTAAAGGAGTTGATTCTTCGACAGGTGGTTGGAATTTCATTTCAGTCGCTTTCGTCAAGTTCTTCGCCGTCAGTTGAGTGGAATGATTATTCTCCGTGACTAATTCTTGCTTACGTGTCAACGGCTTCAACATGCCGTGCGACTCTTCGATGACTCGAGAAGCATCCTTGCGCTTCAACGGCTTCAATATGGCGGCCGGCTTTGTGATGTCTCCTAACGGCTTCCGGAGGGCTTCGGTAGCCGGCTTCACGAATTCATCGGCGCATGACTTCAGAGGCACGTTTCGCTTCACAAGCACTTCTTGAACCCGTTTTTCTCCTTCTTCCGCATCAGCCTCTTCGATTCTGCGACGTTTCGGTTGTTCAGTGTCTTTCGAATCATCCCCGAAAAGATCTTCGTCTCCGTCTAGAGATACGGCACTGCGAAGACTTTTCCGCTCACTGAAGAGATCATCATCAGCGTCCAGTGATCTTTGACGCTTGCTCGTCGGGGCGAAGAGATCATCATTCGCGTCCAAAGAAACAGGACGCAAAGATGACGGTGGATTTGGGACAGTGTTTGCAGCGGAATCGACGGATTGAGTGAATCCTGGGAGAATTTGCGTTGGGTGGTTGAGAGCGATGACGTAATCTTGATAGTTTTCGATGTCGCATTCGAGGTCTGGGTTAGTGAAGACTTCAGTGGTGGTGAAAATAATAGCTAAGGCGATCTCTCGAACGTCAATGCCGCGTTTGCAGTGAATGTGAGAAGGTATTGGGGCATCCGGAGTTTCCACAGGGAGTACGTAAACAGTGTTGGAATCAAAGTGCCGATGGGTTCCTTGATCATAGGTGCACTGTGAAGAACCACCAAGAAAAACAAATATAAAATGGATCATTGAAATGTCAACACATTTTGGGAAGTAGAGAGGATATTATTTCACTTTTTCCTTAGAAACTGTAGATCAAAGTTCAGAATCTTGAATAAAACTAAAATATTTCAGTTGATGGATACTTTTTGCATAACATCCAATCAATCATAATTTCAAAAATTGGAATATTGTAATCATGTATTGGGCTTCCAAATATAATTTGATGCATCCTTTTGTAACGGGCATTTTTGATGAACCGCCGAAGACAAGTGCGGTACATTGTTAACCAGCATTGCTCAGACAAATGCCTCAATCGTCGACAATAACGACAGGTGTCCACAAAATATACCCCAGAACGGGGAAACTTCGTGTGTCACACTGCCGTTTCCGATTCGTCATCTTTGTCATCATCGCAATTCTATTGACAGTTCAAGAAGAATAAATGATTAAAACAAGTGTATATTCACCTCAACAAAGATCAAGGGAGAAACTGAAAACAACAGACAAAACTTAATTAGCTCTTACAGAATTATAGCATCCAAAATTGCCCCCAAAGAAATCTAATTCAAACCATTATCGGAAAAATCAATTTCTCAGCGCATTCAATTACAGTAGATTCAAAAATTCAGGGATTCGTCGAAACAAAGTTTTAATTAAGTCTGCGGGAATTCCGACAAATGTCGCAGAAAGAGGCCCTTCAGTTATTTACCCTTGTGAGATGTTAAAAACAAATACAAGAAGAAACATTTTCGTCCAAGAACATCTAGAATAAAAAAAAAAAAAAAAAAGCCTTGCGGAAACCTCAACGCAATGAAAAGTTGAACAATCATAGAACTATTTGCCACCGCTTCAAATTTTATGAATTAGCAAGACAATAAGCTCCATGGAAATTGGACACAGAAAGTCAATGGGTACAGAAGAAGTTGACCAAGTCAGGGGTGAAATCCAAGGAAGTGCTGAAGGAATTATCAGAAGCTTGATCTGATCCTTTTCATCGATCCAACGATGACAAAGGATTCCGATGACAAAGGATTCCAACTCAATAAGCCATAACCCCACAAATTTAGATTTGCATTCAAAGGGGCATAAAAAACATTTGAATCACCCTCTGTAGAGTCTCCTAAGAAAGAATTAATTTTTCAGGTCCTCACCCATTAAGCCTCGCAATCGTTAGTCAAATAGCTTTATTGGGAACAAGCTGGGGTGCCCAACCACACCTGGGCATTGGACAAATTTTAGACTGGAAAAATTTTCTCCATACAAGAAAACGCACATCTCTATACATTTGCTTTATATATGTGTAAGAGAGGATGCCCAGAAACAAGAATACTTTTTGAATAAAATTGAAAAAGTAAAATCTTTTTTCAAAATTTTACCCAGTTTTGAAACAAGTTTTTACATGCTTGTTAGTGACTGTTAATTTTGAAGTTCTTTAAAAGAAAGAATATATTGAGAACTTCATTGAACATGCAACAGCATTGAATGTTTAATGTGGAATTTTTTTTTACAAATTTTGGAAGTTAAAAAAATGGGAAGAAAATTGCGAAAACAAATTTTTCAGTTAGCTCATTTCAACTTTTCCTCTCTTGGCTGAATTCCAAACTTTCTTATGGGTTTAGATGAAGTTTTATAAATTGTTATTTTCTTTGAATGAAAAAATGTTCAAAATTACATCAATTGAAATTCAAGAAGTAATATCTCACCCCCCCCCCCATTTTTGTACAATTAAAAAAATATTTTGTGCTTCTGTTCGCAACTTCGTGAAGCTTCAAGCTTTTCAGAAGTTTCAATGAAGAACATTTAGAAAACATTATTGCACTTGCGAGGACCCTAACATAAATTTGACTTGAGTGCAAAAGTATTCGTTTTTTCAAGTCAGAAAAATGGGAAATTGGGTGAGCCTCTCTATAACTTGATGGGAGTGAGTTTAGGTGGTACGATGCAATGCAAGGGAGTGCTGTAGCGGGGTGGAAAAATACAAAGTGCGAACCCACTGAAGTGGCAAGCAACTTCCTATCCAAGAAGATTCATTATCTTGATAACTTAGCCTGTTCCCACGTTCAAACCGCTTCGTTGTAACGAGGTTTTCCTGCAATTGTCTCGGCATCAAAACAAAATTTTAACTCACGGATTTTCCACCAGCACCTTCGACAGCAATTCCAACATTGTCCATTGTGAATCTCGACCCGAACACAAATAGCCGGCCCGCGAAAAGCTTCGACCTCTTCAAATCGACGCCAAAAACGCTGGGAACCGCAGCAGCTTTCAGTTTGTCCTCAGGCGGGGGCCTGAATGCATCCGGGTCGGGAAGCATGCCCGCCTTCATCCCAGCCAAACCCAGAAAGTAATCCGGAGTTACAACTTGAGAATTGTAGACCAAGGCACAAATAAACCGCGTTGAAATTGAACTCTCTGGGAAAACGCTGTAATCTGGGGGTTCTCGAGCATCGAACTGTTGCTGCGTTCTCACACATCCAAGGCATTCGAGAACCCGGTTGATCCTCGCCTTGGTCTCCTTGTCACATTTGCACACCATCACCCTGGAAATGAAAAACCGGTTTAAAACAAAAATACAATGACCTCGTAAATTGTATAACCTCAAAATCTGCACCACTCGAATGAGCGAGCAGGTACAGCATTTGCATAACTTCCAATTCTTCCAAATTCAGAAGCACTTTTTCCCGGACAGGTCTCAGTTATTCGCACAGAAAAACTCAATGCTGCAGCTCGCAAATGTGCTTTTCAAGCACAATACAGTACTGTAATTAAAATTACTTTCCAATTGTAAATCGATAACATAAAAATGAACGGCTTTTTACTTCTTCAAAAATATTGAAGCAGTCCACGTTCCCCCCATAGAATCTAAAGGACGAATGACTTTTACTCGTGCTTGAAGATTAATACAACATTCAATTTCCAGTTTTGCACTATATCCCGCAAACACGCTTCGTTCTCGAATGATACAGTAATTTCGAAGCGTGAAAACCCCATCAACGTTCATATTGGCGAAGACATCGTTGATTCCCAAAGCGTGTACATATCGGGGAGACACGATATCATGAGAATATGTCGGACGGATATTTCAGTGATGAGGTATGCTCAGACAAATGCCTCAATCGTCGACAACAAACGACAGGTGTCCACAAAATTCACCCCAGAACGGGGAAATTTCGTGTTTCACACTGCCGCGTCCGATTCGTCATCTTTGTCATCATAGCAACCTTTTTCCATGAAAAATCTCACGAACAAAATACTGTACTGTACTGTACTCCAAGAATTAAAAAGAAACCGCGAACCACGACAAATTTCAAGAGAACAAATAACCAAATAAATGCTGAAAATTATTTCATCGCTGTCATAGAAATCTTTATGCTGTAAATCAAGAATCTTCAGAAAAAAAATTAGTTAAGAAATCGCAAACCATGACCAACTTTATGATTAATCTAAAAAATTATACCATGATAAGTAGCTCAAAATTAAAAAATCCAAGTCAACGACGATAGCAAATCCAATAAGTTTGGAGTGAGAGAAACATTCTCAGCCTCCGTCAGAACACGGAAAAAAACGAACATTTCTCAAAAACAATTTTGTTGAATTGGCAACTTCATCGATCACGAAGAATGAATATCTGATCAACCGTTTCTGAGATACCAGACGTGAACGAATACTCGGTGAATTAAATCTTCTACACACCATAATATTGAAGCTTCAAGGAAACTCTCACCGGCACTTGCGATTCTCGAGGACAAACTTGTCATCCGGGTTCCCGAACGCAATCCAGTCCCCGTTACTGACCTCGACTTCCTTCCCTTTCTCAACGGCGGCACGACCGTTGACAAACGTTCCGGAAGCGGATTTTGCATCGAATACGCGAACATTTCCACCAGTATCTACCCGAAGTTCGCAGTGCACCCGACTGACATAAGACGCTTTCACTACCAAATCAGCACTGGACCCTCGACCTACGATCACAGTCACATCCCGCTGCAAAAAGAAGGCTTTTCGGGAATCCTTCTGGCACCTGAGCACCAACATCTGGGACAAAGAAACCGGATATAAAAAGAACATAGAAATTTGAAAATAGCTACAACGAATCTCTTCATAACAAATTAATGCCTCTAAAGAGTTTGATTTTCCGTTCCTGTCCAATGGCCACAATGTTATTTTGATTTTGTTTATACGAAATTTATTTTACAACGAAGCTCTTTTCAAGTGCCAAACGCCCTGTTTCAACGAAATTATAATGTACTGTATTTTCATGAATTTTATTGATGCGGAGTACTGAATTGTTCCCATCCAAGTACAAGTCAAACTCACAAGGACACACAGAGTTTTCTTGAGTAAGAGTTTGAGAAAGGGAAATAAAGTTTTTTTCTGGCTGAAATAAAGTAAAATTAAAGGAAGGTAAAAACGGAGATATTCTCTGCCTCAAAATGCTGGATAAATGGGTTGAGACAGGAGGCTGCATTTCAAAGCAAGGGTATATTTGCCGAACTATTCCCTCGCTTCTATTTGAAAACCATCAAATTACTTCTTCATTCGTTCGATCCCCAGAATAATGGGTCAAAGGCCTCTCAAAATGCAAGTCATACAGGTTTGAGGGAGAAAGTCTTGGGGGCTAAAAATAAAAAATCATACTTTTCTCAAGGAAATTCAGACAGGAACTAAACAAGAAGATGACCAAGGTTTTTAACGATTTTTCTATTCGTAAAAAAAAAAAAAAGAATCCAAGCTGATCAACCGAACACAATCTGACCGCAAGTTCATCTTACGCTGAGGTTTCTTAAAATTACTGTTCCGTGCTTTGGTTTCGTAGGAATCCGTTTTTACTGTTTGATCACAGTCACTCTTTACTCTGAAACAGAATACACAACGTCACATTTTCGTTCACTGCATTGAATCGAGAAAAAAAAACCACGCATGATCCAGTTTTTAAAAAATATAATCGAGAATTCGCCGAAAACATATTCATGGCTGATTCAATTCATGATAACCTCAATCTTTTCGCTATATAAATCACATCAGAAGGAAACAAATGGAAGTTGCACGTAGTAAACCCCAGCCGAAAACAGTCCCAAGCTCCTCAGAGGATTGAATTTTGATCGCCATGGTCCAAGCTCTCGAAGTACCTTCTCGCATTCTTGATATTTAGCCAGGTGGCAGCGGGAGCTGAACAAAGAAAATAAATAAACAGAAACCTTGAGATGAAACATGTTGATTAAACTTTCCTTTTTCAAGTTGTTGGCTTATTTCGAATAACTTTCTCAACATGAATACTAGAGAAAATAAGAGTTGCTGAACAAAATGGAAGAGTAAATGTTCCTCGCACGTGTCTGTATGTGGCTAGACATACAAACAGGAGGATGTGATGAAACATTACTCATCACTCAGTTCAAGTTCAAGAGCAAGTACCTTCCAGAATATTTTAAAAATGAGAATAAAATTTCTACACCTCAATCTATCTGTACGCCGGGTTCCTCCTTTCCGAGCGTACTCGATTTTGCAAGAAGGAGCAGAACATTTTGGACAGATTTTCGAAAGCTATCAAAGAAAACCAAATTATTCAAGCATTCAAAGAAAACCCGAATTTCAAGATGTACCCCGGAGTTATGAGTTTAAATCCATGGATTTAGAATTGCAATCGCTTCCTTCTTCCATAGGTCATATAATGGTTCCGATGGACACTTTCGGAAAATCCATCTTTGAAAATTTGCGAGAGGAAAGAAGTTTACCCTACTGCCATAAAAAAAATGCTAAAAAAAACTGCAAGTCGAATTTGACATCAAAGAGATTTAAAATTTGCAGGCAATCGAACTAAATGCGCTTTCCGTTCCTTGATGCTTGTAGTTAAAGGGTTATTTGAATATTGTAAGGAAATTGTAGGTCAAGTCAATGACTCAGGCGACACCTTTCAACCATTACAAAAAGAAACCCGCCGTCTTTCTCAATAATCCCGTAATCCTTAATCCCACTCACGTATTGTAGTATCGGACATGACGACCATAATGAAAGTGTTCGACGTGAAATACTCGATGAATGCTGCAAACTTGGAATTCCGCACTTCCATGCGCTGAAACTGTGCAGCAAGCTTCGAGCAACTCAGTTTAAACTGCTTGATGATGTTGGAGACCTTCTCGAACCGATGAACGTCCTTGTGCGGTTTCCGTTCGCAATGCGAAATCACGAGGAAAGTCGCCTTTTCGAACAACAGCACTTCATCTGCTTCGATTATGTCCGCGAAGGCTTTCACGTTCATCTCTAGTTGACGAACGTTGGGAATAAGCTGATAGACAATGGCGGACCAGGCCTAAAAAATAAATGCGAAGAAAATAATTTGAATTAAGTATATTTTTGGGCTACGTTATTCATTCAGAAGTTATGCAGAATGGACAAGAGGGCTGCTCAGTACCGAAAAATAATTATTGTGCTCCTTTTCAAGTACAGCGAACCCTTGATTAACAAACTCCTGGTTTCCACAAAAAATTCCCTTGGTTAACAAACTCTTTGTCCGGGGAATATCTTAAATTTGAGAATTCAAAATTTGATTTTGAGGCCGGAATTTATGTTACAGTCTGAAGTACAAATACAGTGACTCAGCTATGCACAGATATAAAAACGATTTCTGCCAGGCACTTCAATATGTGTGATCTTGCGTTCAAAAATTTGTTTCAGCTACATATTATTCATATGCTTTCCTGCGCTAGGTTTTTTCGAGTTGTTCAATTATTAGAAAAGTGCATTTGATCTTGACTTGCACAGCATTAAAAAATAAATTTCATCTTCACCTGAAGCTTCAGGGCGTGGTTCCCTGGATGTGAAGCTTTTTTTTTATCTCTATTTTCATCAGCGCTACTTCCAAATAACACTGTAAACACATTCTGGGCAAATACGAGACACAACAACAACCTATTCTGATTATTTATGTTCAATTGTTTTTGGGGTTCAAGGAACGGATTAAATTTGTCGTCATGGAAGCCTGAAGGAAAACCGAATTGGGTTCACAAACTTACACAGGGTCCCCTGTACAGTGCTCCAGCTTAAACTGCCAAGTTGAAGCAAAAAGGAATGAACTAGCTTTCAACTAAAATACCCAAAAACCGACAACAGACTACCTTTAGCCTGAAATACTCTTGAAATTAAGTGACCTCACTTATATGAATATCAGGCCTACAGGAATACACGTTTTTGACTTAGGGAGGTGTAAATTATATTGTTCTTGAGATAATCCAGTCAGAGCCTCAATAAAAATTTAAAATAGGGAGGTTTAAGTAAACCAAGTTCAACAACATGAGAAATTACTAAATAGATGCATAACTGCAAGCGTATCATTTTTCTTGAGGAAACCTTTTTTCTTTTTTTAAGCTCACATTACTTCACAGAGAAATCTCGTATATATTCAAATACTTGGCAAGCAGCCACAGCTTCGAAAAATGAATAAAAACTTCGCAAAAACCTTGTATAAAGTTTCATCCCAGATGGAAGTCCTGAAACAGCGACATTGGAGGGGCAAAGAACACCGCTTCAGTTCATCCTCCCTCATGGCGAACAACTGAAGGTGAAAGCCACGATTAGTACGACGTTTTACAAATTGTCAGTCTTCGTTTCTCTAATCTCTCACCGAATCTCGTTGATCTTCTTGAATCAGATCCATCTTGTGAATAAGGCAGAAAACTTTCGCTTCGGGACTATTTTGCAAAATTGCTTCGAGGCACGACTGGTAATAATGCATGTCTTTCTCCAATTCTCTGGATTCTACGTCGAACACGTAGATGAGCACTTCGACGTTCTTGAATATATTGTCTCTCTGGGATGCGAAATAATTCTCCATGAATGCTTCTTGACTGAAAGAAGAGTGGAAAAATTGGTTCTCAAACAGTTCGTCCGATTCTATAAAATTCACACAATTTCTAACCGACTTGAAGAATTTCTACAAGATTCAAGCTTGGACAAATTCTGCTCAGACAAATGCCTCAATCGTCGACAACAAACGCCAGGTGTCCACAAAATTCACCCCAGAACGGGGAAACTTCGTGTTTCACGCTGTCGTTTCCGACTCGTCATCAAGTCTCATCACAGCAGTTTGACACCAACCCAATAATTTCAATTTTAGAGATGGGCGCCAAATTAAATCGACAATTGATACCAGGAATTAAAGGATGTTATAGCAAAGTTCTCATCAAAAACGCACTTCTCATGGCGTTCAAGATCAAAGAAAAAAAAACACGTAAAAAAATTATATTTTCAAGTAATAAATGAAATAAAAAACGAATCAAAGTACATCAGGTAACAGAAAAGGTCGATATAATGTTGGAAGAAAACCCAAGTTTACTTACCCGCCACAGTCCCACAGGTTCAGGAACAGGTTCCCCAAAAATCGCACGTGCGAGTGCTCAACGTCAACTAAAAAAAAAAAAAATAATTAGTGTGCCAAAAAATCTCATTAGAATTATTAATTGACACTTACTTGTAGCACCGAGTCTTCGAGTATCACGTGCAACATAATTCGCGAAAATAATCGACCGCATACTCGTCTTCCCCGACCCATTTTTACCCATTAAAAGAACCTTTTTCTTCATGGTCACGATCACTGCTTCCTATATGAAGAAAACAAAGTCGGTAGATTCACGTGCAAATGAACCAAAATCATTTCATATGAAATTTGCGTAATGAGAAAATGGAGAATATTGGCATCATTCAAGTAAATTTTTGGTGCCCGAATAACGGAAGAGTGAACTTTGGCTTTTTCCTAACAAACCCCAGCGGGATTTTTTCGTACAACTGCAGAATGGTGGCAGAGAATGGTTTTCTTATGGAAGCAAAAATTTAAAAAAATTTCATAATTCAAAACTTCGATTTCACAATTGAAGTCTGATGTGTTTTGTTACATTCAAAGTTGAAACTGAAAATTCAATACTTTTCCCCTGCTTTAATTCCAACTGCATGCGTCCTAAAATGAACAATTTGACACATCTGAAGAGAGAGAACAGATAAAATAACCAGATAAAGTATTGAAATGGCTGAGTGAAAGTCAAACTGACATCTGAAATTTCGTAAGACATTGATCAGTTTCCCTAGAATGAATTAAGTTTCACAAATCTCCAATGCACCAGGAGCAGGTTAAATTCCGGAAACGGCCAGTGTTTTTTCTCTTTTTCGTTTCCCAGGGCCCAAACGGAAGCGGTTGTCCGGAGAACATGCCACGATTTTTCCTCCCCAAAATAATTTTCTGTATCCGGTTCAAGCCTGGAAGAAAATGGTCCTCAATATTTTCTTCTCGCACATTTAAAGCTATAAATCGAGCTTTCTCTTGAAATTATAGAATACAGTAGTTCGAAAAATAAAAGCTCAGAAAAAACTTATTTTACATCCAACATGTTCAATTCTTGGAGGGTTTATGGTCAATTCTGAAAATGCCCGTTGAACTAAATTTGAGACTATTTCCTCATATTTTCCGAAGGTGCCTAGAGGACTTTTTCGGATCATTTTCAGAGTTTTTGAGATCTTTCAGCAAAAACTTGTTTCGACTGGTGAGAGATTTCAGAGAAATAGAATGCTCAGACAAATGCCTCAATCGTCGACAACAAACAACAGGTGTCCACGAAATTCACCCCAGAACGGGGAAACTTCGCGTGTCACACTGCCGCGTCCGATTCGTCATCTTTGTCATCATGGCAATTTATTTGACCAAAAAAGTTCAGCTCCTTCATCCAATTCAGGTATCCCATTTGGATTCGACACAAATTTCATAATCATGCATTCGCAACTTTAAAAAATACTCTCGGTTTATCGCAAGCATCACAACGTAAACAAGAGAAGAAAAGTACGCGATGACTTCAAAAACGGAGCGATAATCCCCAACAATTGTTTTTAATTCGTCGTGAAGGCGAACAGGAATCACAATGCAGTGACTGAACGAACCAAGAAGATGGAACAACTGTGACTCGCGTCGCGAAAGAACAAGAGCGGAATTCATAAAAGATTATCAATGAAATCGGGAAGCGCGGAAGCAAAAGAAACAGGCAATTTAAAATTTAAAAAAAAGGTTAGCATCGGTTACGTTCATCAATTCCCGCCCATAAGTTAGGCGTTTCAATCCGCAGTCAACGAGAGGACTCAACCACGATTGACCTGATACCTCCATCTAGCGATGATCCCAAGAGCGAAACACGACCGAGTCGACCTCGATTTCTTCCTCAGTGACCTCGGAAGATCCTCTCTTTCAAGCCTTCGTCCACGACATTGTTTTTTTTTATTATTCGTGTTCTTAAAGTAGCTGCAGTGAACCGGTGACGAGGTTCACTTGGGATTCAGGACCAAATACGGCGAGCACGGTGAGCGAACCCGACGGGATCTGGGTTCGGCCTGCGTCGCGAACCAGGTAACACGGCAGGCCCACTTCTTCACAGTGTGCCCGAAGACCGGTTAAATGCTGAGTGGATTGACCCTTCAAGCATATCTTCTTCGCACTGCAATGAGAGTTATTCAAGTTTTTTTTTCAATTCGACTTGATCTACGAGACAAGATTAGACTCAAGTTACTAGTCAGATTTGTAATGTTTCCTCCACATCAATTACTTCGTTTAAAACATTCATATTCCTTTATCCATTATGTTCAATGGCTTGGCTGCTTCTTAATGGTCCCAAAAATGAAACATCTTCGGACTCTTCGGAATTTGAAGCGCATACTGATTATTTGAAGTAGATTTCTTAGGAAACATTTTTTTGAAGGAATACACTAGCCGCGAAATTATCAAAATACTGTATTTCCCTTCCTACTACCGTACTTGTAAATGCTCAGACAAATGCCTCAATCGTCGACAATGACGCCAGATGTCCACAAAATATACCCCAGAACGGGGAAACTTCGTGTGTCATACTGCCGTTTCCGATTCGTCATCTTTGTCATCATCGCAATGTTATTGGCAGGTCACGAATAACCCAAAATTTGAAGAGAAAAACATTTGTTCTCAGAACAAAATGACAATCACGAAGAACAAGAGTGAATCCGATTGAACAACAATTAATCATATTTTCCAGAATAGTTACATTTCATATTTTGCCTTCAAAGATAACCAACTCAAAATAGTATAAGACGATTTTTTCAAATCATTCCCAGAGTTTTCTGTTTTGTTTTGAACTTTATAAAGCATAATCTTGTTACAATGAGGTATTGTGTAGAACGAATTCATTTATGATATCCCTACAATACAGGAAACAACATAAATCCATTTGGGGGGGGGGGGGGGGTATTATGACGTTTTTTTTTNTTGCTGTTAGATGCCTATTGACGGGGGGGGGGGGGGATATTATGACGTTTTTTTCTGTGATAATGAAGATTATTACAGCTCCCAAAGGATTTGCAGTAACGAGTTTATACGACATTCCTTATACTGTACAATGAGGCTCCGCATAAAGACACAAATTCGATCCTGGCTGAGTTTCGTCATGCGGGATTTTCGTTATGCAAAATACAATCCCCCCCCCCCCCCCCAAGGTGACAATATATTTTTTTTTAATTTGTTCCAGACACTTACCAAAAGACCATGATACAAATTTATAACTGTTTTTTCCTACTTTTCAGCATAAATTTCGGGAAACGGACAATTGGAGACAGAAAATTTGAGAAAGGAGCAATTTGAGACAGGGAAAATCCAAGACAGGGGCAAATTGAGACAAAAACTAACTTGTTGAGGAGAGGGTTCTGCTTAGGTTGGTTCGAAGATTTGAGTCTTTCCTTGATGAGGACAACTCATTTGACAATGATGGTGGACAAAAGGGAAGAATACCCTAGGATCATGGACTTTTCGCCAAATAGTGCAATTTTTGTTCATTTTCACACCTTCATTTTCAAAAAATGTGTTCATATTTGAACATTTTGTTAATTTTCAAAAATAAGGTAATGGGGAGAAACACACTCAAGTCATTTTGTCTCAAGTTGAAAAAGTGTATTTTTCTCAATTTGCCAATGTCTCAAAAAGTTTCTGCCTCAAATTGTCCCCGTCTCCAATTGTCTTGCCACAATTTGTCCTAGATCCATACAATTTCAGTAATCCAGGAAAGTTCTTTGCTTTCTGAATTTCACAACTTTCAAATACAGTAAAACGGGGTAAAGATATGTTTTCTGACATTTGCCTCGATTTTTCATTGTTTCAATTCCAAAATTTTACATAAAAAAATCGAGCATATTTCAAAAGTAAAAAGTTTGTTAAAGGGAACATTTTTTTTCCTGCGCATGTCACGATTTTCCTGAACTCAAATTTTCGTTACGTGGGTTTTTCGTAGCCCGGGTTTTTCAATATGCGGGCACTCCTTGTATAAAATAAAATATTACCTAAATTTACTGAATACAGTATCAAGTAACTTCGGTACACACCCATATTCTTCCCAAGCCCGTACGCTCTGATCGTATACAGATTTTTCGGCAATCAAGTCGCTGAATAACCCAACTGCGGCATGGCCCACTTGGGCAGCCACCTTCCCCACACCCATGCCGAGCTCTGTGTTCACGACAAACACCATCTTGTAGCCTTCGTCTCCCACGGCGGCAGCGCGGGGCTTATTCTGGCTGTCCGTGTTGCCCATGGCGGCACTCTCGTCGACGATGTGTCGCTGCAATTCCGGCGGCAGTTCCTCCTCTTCCGCCGGCGATCCCGAGTTCTCTATCACCCAAGCTAAAGCCAATTCTGGGCAATCGTTTCCGGTATAGTATAGAGCCTATACACAAGGAAATATTCAAAGACAGTGAACGTTATTACATTTATTTAATCGCGGAAATCAACACACACACAAACACACGCGCACAGTTCCTCAGATAAAATATAAAATGAGTGTTGCTGAATTTAAGTTTACGCAATTGGGCGGCTATTTCAGATTTACAGTGTACATTATTGAATGAACAGAACATATGAAGTTTCAAAAAATCCCCGAATTTCAGAGAAATTCAAAATTGAATATTGAGACCCCGAGATGCGGACGTGATTGGTGCATCAAGAGTGTCCTGATGTCAGAATTTCCTCAAGTTGAGTCTCATTTTCCCTTAGACTTCAATTCTAATGTAATTGGTTCTCCTTTTTTTTTTTAATAAATCCTCAACAATTTAATAAAAATTGTTTCCCTCAACTTCAAGTAGTAGAATACAACAGTGCAGAACAAAACCACACAGAATCTGATCTTTTGGTATCAAAAAGCAAAGAAAAAGAATAAGTCTTGCTAGAATATGCACAGATGATGGATAAAAACTCTGAAAAAATAAGCACAAAATCAGCTTGCTTTTGATTATGGATCAGAGTAAATTTATCATGAAATATTTGAAATTTTTGTGAATAAACATACTGCAGCTTGATCTGCTCAACGGATATCATTCTTTTTGTTGGGAAAATTTCAGAAATGTGTCCTTAACTTGAGCCAATGATCGGATGTCGGGCCTGATTTTTTTGGGTTTCAAGTGTCTCTAAGTCGAATTGTACGAACGTTGGGGTGTCCGCATATCGGGGTCTCACTGTACTTGTACAGTTTCTGTAATACTGCAATGAATTCGATAGATTGCCTTTTTCTACTATTTCTGTAAAATTTCGTATCAATCACATGATTTTAGGAGGAACGAATCTGGCCTGAAGATTTTACAAAGCTTCCGTTCGAGTGAAACATCGTAACAGAAGCCTGCGTACAATCCAATTCTTTCGGAAAACCTACAGTATTAATTCTCAAAAATTACTGGATTGAATCAAAATTATGGTGGAATGCGGTTAACAAAGCGGTTCATTTTCGCCAAAAAGAATTCACTAAATACTTCCCCTTTAAATCAACAGCCTAAACGCAGAAATTCCAGTATTTTACAACCTTTCGTATGTAAGGCGCCTCGGAATTCATGTCTTTTATGGAATTAATAAGACAGGATTGCTCAAATTCAATACAGTGCTAGGGAAATAATGACATCCAAAAAACACTGGAAAATACTTTCACAAGATGCAGGTACGAGTTTGCAGAGTTCATAAATTATATTGTACTGTATTATTTATCGGCAGACCTCTTCCCAAACAGAATACGCAAAAATCAACGCATTCCTAAAAGCCGCAATGAACACTTTTCGGCCGTCTTGCCAAAAATAAACACAGGGATTTCGTAGAGTTCAGTTGTTTCCAGGTACATTCCAAAAAAAAAAAAACGACTCAAGGCAACAAATGTCGAACAGAGATACAGTACATGCCCTAATGATTAGACTAGCAAAAAAAAAATGACACAAAAACCCTCATCAACGCACATTTTGTAATACTGTACAGTATTCGATAAAATTTACTCGACACCTTCACTTCTACAACACACCATTACAATGCTGTGCAATGGGAATAATCTTTTGTGAAAAATTCGCGGTTTATTTCAATTTTTCCCCCGAATCAATTGTTTGTTAAAAGAAAATTAGAGGCCAACTCTACCCCATCTAATCTTCATTACTGTATATGCATTTTATGCACAATAATCTTCCCCGTCATCCTACACATGAATAAAACATTCCGAAGAGGATTTCAAAGAGAAATTCCACGATGACTTGCATCAGTGTTTCATAAATTCTGGTTCTTTCCTGATTTCGTTTCTAGTGGAGGGTATTCAGCCTTTTACCGTCATAATTCAACGTAAAATTCGTATTGCGGCTCGGTTTGATTTAAATATTAAAATATACATCTTTTCCGAACGTTGACTCCCATCAAACGCGATCCCTTTACGGAACATGTAAATCAAAGATGACATTCAACGTAAAACTTCTAAAATACGAGAAAGTTCATTTCTACCATCGATTGTTGCCAATGAAGGAGTCTCATACTCGAATTAATAAGGTAGCACTGAAGCCACGATAATCAAGAACCGTTTACCATAACCCACGTGCTCAGACAAATGCCTCAATCGTCGACAACAAACGTCAGGTGTCCACGAAAATTAACCCCAGAACGGGGAAACTCCGTGTTTCACACTGTCATTTCCGATTCGTCATCTTTGTCATCATCGCAGTTTTAGTTTGTGGACTCAGTGAATGAAGAAACTAAAATCAAAAAGCTTCCATGTTCGAGATCATTCACGTGGATATAAAAATGAAAAAAACAAACTCCAAAAGGCACAAGTTTCAGGTTTAGCGCAAAATTTCGGCAAAGATTATGAGTGATTACAATAAATGCACAAAAAAGTGTAACAAATTGCTCGGGAAAAGTCTCAGAGTTACTGAGGTTTGGATCCTAATGTTCTCAAGGAAATTCAGAAAGGGACTAAAAAACAAAATTGAACGAAGGGAGGTCCAATTTGTGATTCACAACGTTGAGCCGAGCCCCTCGTTCGTTCCGATGTACAGTACTGCACAACAAAAGAACAGTGGCACACTCACCTTCACAGCCGCGTTGTGAGCAACGCCGTACCCACGCAAGCAATTCAAATGGGCCCGGTTCGGCACCCAACAGTCAGACCCAACATCACACGCTCCCGCTCCGATCCCAGCGGCTTCATTCATGCTTCGCCTTGCGTTCCGATCGCAACCCTTCAGCACGGCGTACCCGGCCCCGCAGCCATGCAACCTGGGCTTGAGAAATAATTAATTTCGCATCAAACAAACCATTACGGCACATTACCCGAACATGAAGAACAAAAAAAGGACGATTCTTCCACAAAAATACTATTTCCTTGCGATCAATCAACTCTGCAGCAAATTAAAAAAAAAAAAAACTGCGAGAGCTCGAGGTGTGAATCCAACGTCAAGTAAAAATGCAATTGCCTTTGAATCATATTTTTACGACGTCACTTGTGGTTACTCATGCAAAGAGCATAATTCTGGAAATTTTCCCGGACACAAGAGTCTTTTAAATCGCCAAATCTTGAAACTCAACGCTGCATATTTGCCCTGGAAAAAAAATTTCGAACTCCTGGGCTGACGAATGATGCCTTCTGCAATACAGGTGGACTCTCTCTACGATGATCTCATCTACCGCGATTTTCTCTGCGTAACAAATTTTTCGTTGGCCCTTTAAGGTTCTTCACCCATGTCATAGGGATTTTCCATATCGAAATTCTTTCTACAACGAATTTTCTTCCGGTCCCTTGCGTTTCGTTGTAGAGAGAGTCCACCCGTAGTAAAGTACTCATTTTCTGGCCGCTCAGAAATGTTGACACAATTTACATACTTGAAAAAAAAAATAAAATAAATTCCCACTGGGTAACGAAATCAAAAGAAATCCCAAATCTTCTCAAGTATCCCAAGTTGCTGAGAATTGAATAAACGTACAAATTTTATGCGCTAGATTAAAACCTCGGTATAGATTGCTCACGATTTAAACTTGACTTCTAGTACAGTATTTTCACTATTTTGACATTTTCGAAGGAAGTTATACTTCGTGAATGGATATTTCGCAAGAAATCCGTTACTCATTCCGCAAAAACGAAAAAAGAAATTCGCAACACAACTCACACTAAAATCAACGCGCCGCCTCGGCACGCCCCGGTTCTAGTCGCCCGCGAGATCAAGGAGAGGAAACTTGGCACTTTGAACATGCCATGCGATATTCAATATAAGAAAGAACCATACATCTCGATGAAACGAACTGCAAAGCACAAGGGAACCGACGACACAAAATAATTCTCGATGAAGATGTACACTAGAATCTCTGACAACAACACAGTGAATATTCAATTTTTCGTAAGAAAGAACCATACATCTCGATGAAACGAACTGCAAAGCACAAGGGAACCGACGACACAAAATAATTCTCGATGAAGATGTACACTAGAATCTCTGACAACAACACATTGAATATTCAATTTTTCGCGAATTTTTCAACATCCCGTATGATTACCGGAAATTTATCACTGCTAAATTGGAACACGGTAGTTCAAGGACACATTGGAAATCGTGGTACTCCATCAGGACAGAGCTCACTTGCACATCAGAACTGGTCTATCGTCAACGATTTTGCGAGACAGCAACTTTGCCGGCTCGTTCATTTTCCGCATTTTGGTTTATTTTTTCAATAAGTTTAAAAGTTCCTCGAGTCGAACACAAGACATCCCGATATTTATTGCGAAAGATCACTCACAGTATTTACACGATCACTCAATGCACTTAATTTTCCGTGAATATTCTTGCAACGCGTTCACGCCGGGGTTAACTTCTTCCCGTGGTCGAATTTTAGTCTTCCGGATCTTGGTTTTTTTCGCCGGTTTCCTACGCTGCTACAAGAGGACTTCTACAACAGAGCGACATTTTCGACGTTTTTCACTTCCCTGAAGCAGAAAAGGATTTGTCAGGTTCATCATAAAATAAATAAGACAAATAAAGTTGAATTGTTCGCGAACAAAAAGTCAATGCATTCCCCTCAATAAATTCTGCTGATTTTCACCCCAAATTTCAAAGCAGTTAAAATATATGTCAACGTCATCAACAGCAAAAAAACCAAAAATAAATACTGGCGCAATGAAAACTCTCCCATCAACAATGATCATCGATGAAGCCTCGAAAATTTCACTGAATCTCGCGAGCGCAACCGAAAAACTCCTCACAGGTGACGCGTTCGGAAATTTTTTTTTCGTTTTCGGAAAACACGTTGATATCAATGTTAAGGATGGAAAAAACCTCGTTTGCATAATCACGAGCGAACGAAGAACGCCGAGGAACACATTTTGCACGACGGACGCGTCAGACAATCCACAGATTCACGCTTAGCCACTGACGTAAGCAAACATTCCAACCCAAGGGAAGCTCGAAATATCATATCAATTTCCTCAACAGACTCTTCCGGCGAGTAAGAAACAATGCGATATCAGCTGCTGTTTAATGAAAATTATAACAACGGATTTCCGGGTTAATCCATATTTTTTGGCCATCCTCGAACATTTTTTTTTTCCTCGTCTAGAATTCGTCATGTCTAGACAGATATTCTCCGAAATCAGTTGCCTGAGAACCGACGAACAAATCGAAGTTATCCAAGACCTCAGTCCTCGTTAACTTTCCGTCGGAATCCGTGTCAGCCTCGTAGATGAGATGAGTCGCTTCAGCCTCCGAATGGTCGTAATCCGGGGGCATGATCCAAGCTTTTACTTCTGGGAGCAGCTCTATAGGTAGAGGCAAAAACAGAGCCTTAAGAAACTTGACAAGTGCAAGGACTCAGTGGGTCAGTCCGAGTCAAAGAGGGCCAAGTGGCACCTTGTTTAGAGGTTATATAAGAAGGTTAGTGATCTATAAATACAGTAGTGAAATTCGCAACAAATTTTAGATAAATATTGTTGGAATACAGCGACATTTCACCCCTCGAAGCATGCGATGAAATTATGCATTCCGTCAGACAAAAGGAATCTTTCAAATCTGTGCCATATGTTGAATCGCATGAATAGATATAAAATGTTAAATCGCATGCATAGATATAGAAATCTGAGAAAAAATCGTTATCCAAGTCGTCATATTCACTGGATTTCTTGTTTTTAATGGTACTGCACCAAGAGTCTATCAATAATTTCATTTTCCGTCTCCTAGGTTGCGCCCACTTTTTATCAAATTTGTGGATAAAATCGAAGTTACTTCAGGCGTCTTTGAGTTTAGAGGGGAAGCGAAAACAAAAACCTGACTGAATCCTGTAGAAACATTCGCTGAAAATGAAATCGAACATGACCTTAAAATTACGAACAAATTTTCTGCGAAATTAACGTGAAGAAAACCGTTAATACTGGTGAAAGACTCACGAATTTAAACTAGATCATATTATTTCACACCTTTTTCGTGATAATGAAAAATAGCATGTTATTCTCGACCTACCACTGTACACGGAAGCTGTGAAATTATCAAGGAAATTTCACTTTTTACTGCAGTACTTAACGTGCTCAGACAAATGCCTCAATCGTCGACAATAACGCCAGGTGTCCACAAAATATACCCCAGAACGGGGAAACTTCGTGTGTCACACTGCCATTTCCGATTCGTCATCTTTGTCATCATCGCACTATTTTTGGCAGGTCTAGAGGAAACTAAGATTTGACAAAAATCATGTTCTCAGGACAATTCGACACCAATGAAGATCAAGTGAATACCACAGAACCAAAAATTAATTAGCTCCCACGAATATCGAATACTGTATATACAGTACTTTCGATATTTTGCACTTGAAGGTATGGGACGACTGAACCACAAACTTCAGGAAAATCATCTGACCAAATTTAAAATAGCTTGAGCTAAAATAATACCACTTCAACTGAAGTAATCTCATATACTGTACAATAATTCAAAGTAAATTAGCTCCAACAGCAGAAACATTCAAGAGACAAATATGCGCACTCAATGTGAAGAAAATTTTTAAATACCAGGCGTTAAAAGGAGATATTAAAAATAATGATAATATTGCGTAATAGAAGTTATTCAAAATAATAATAAACCTTTCCATCCTTATTCTTGTCGATGTCTTCCATAGTTTCGGCAACAACAATATCCTGCAAATCCGGAGATTCCTCGGGGTGCAAAAAAACCCCGAATTCTTCCTTTGAAAGACTTCCGTCCCCATCTTTATCCGCCTTGTCCCAGCGGCGTTTGTCTTTCCGCATCATCTCAGCGTACGTTTCTCCATCACTTCCCTTGAGTTCATCTTCCGACATGCCTTGATTGAAGCGAAACCATTGTCGACTTTCATTTATGGACTGAAAATTATTCCTCACCATCTATAAAGCCATAAGACACTTTTTTGTACTGTTCCCAGGGAATGAGTTCGCTGCCGTCTGTGCTATGAGATTTCCATTGTCGATTCACATCTTCGTCAATGTATCTGGAATTCGAAATTTTCCTCTTTTTACTCACAAGATAGAGAGAAAGACCTCCCAACTTTCCAAGTAAGTTAAATTCACTCATAATTACACAGAAAATTTCCATAATTCGAAGTAGGACTCATCAATTTTTCGTTCATTGTGCAGCTTTCCGGATATGCCAGTGTTCGTGTACCACTGGCGCAGATGCCTTTTCTGGCTCCCGCTCTACTTAAAACTTGCGTTCAACTTAAAAAGTAAGCACCGCAATTCACAAATATAGTTTATTAAATTCAAGATGCTTGATTTTATTTTCTTCGGCGAATCGTTCAGCCAATCCACCCTTTCGCTGGGTTTAGGCGGAATTTCGAACATGGATATACTTTTTCCAACACCCTTAATTACTTCTTGGTGCAGTAATTCAGTTATGAATATTGGGTAATATTTTTCAAGTACAGTACACCACTAACAACCTGTGGTACGAGTACCACGGACTGAGAAGCGTTGTACGAAGACCTCAAACAAATTCTGCGCGAAATGGATAATTTTCGGGAATACTTATTTTCCGCAGAAAAAAATAATAATCTAGAAACAACTTTTTATTTTATGAAAAAGAAATAAGCTTTGAACAATTATAAATTTTGCGAAAAACAAAGAAATAAACTAAAAAACAAGACTTGAATTTTCTGCAAAACAAGAGGAGCTCTTTTGTCAATTTTGCAGAGAGCGAAGAAACAAGCGATCAACACGTTCCAATTTTATACAGAATAAACGAAAGAAGCTACCGTATCAACACCTTTAGATTTTGGGCATAAAGAAATAAGATCTAAAGAATGTCAATTTTGCGCAAAACAAAAGAAATAAGCTGTCAACTTATTTCAAACCCACAACTAAATGATAATGATTACTTGGGCGGAATACGGATACTCTAAAGATTCAAACCTGTGCTGCGTGTGTTTTATCCACTTCTGAAGCTCAGCCTTGTCAATAACCCCATCGGAATTCTCGTCAATCTTGTCAAATAGTTTGCCTAGCCTCGCTCGACTTTCTTCCGGACTCAAATCCTGGAACTCTTTCGCCTCTTCTTCACCAAGAAAAGCTTCGTGATCATAATCAAGGTTATGCTCGGCTCCACGGTAATGAAGTTCATCGCTCAATTTCTGGAGATACGGAGACATGAGATGAAATAAACTGAAAAAAAATTTAGTTCATAGAATATTCGATGCACGCACTCTCTCGACGATTCGTTCCTTCGGTATCGCCACCCCGCTGGACATTAACACAATGCCGAACAGACAGACGATACAACTCATCCACTGCATCTTCACTTCCTAAGAAATTTGTGCAGCCCCGTTCCCTGAGATCTTTTTTGGGGTTGGAAATACAGTATACGAATATTATTATATAGTCGCAACAATCGACACAAATTGAACGGCCTTATTCACACGAATATGAGCATTTATCTTCACCTCCATTTTAGCAGCTCAAAAACTATGCGAACTTATTTTTGCATATTCAAGCAACTTGTCTACATAAAAAATATTCCTCGCAGCCCAGAAAATGATGGATCACTTGTTTTCTTCAGTTCGTTTGGAATGCAACAGAAAAAACCAACAAATGATCAACTTTTAGAACTTCAAGATCCATGAGTGATTGATTCAAGGGGAAGAGGAGGGGTTGTGTGACACCATCTTTCCTTTCCTAGGAAAAAACCTAAATTTAGTGAAAATTTTCGATTTCCTACGAAGTCAGTACACCGAAAAGTAAGTTGGTGCTTATATTCGCGTAAATAAGGTTTTCCGCACTACCGCGCAAAATTTTCGCACAATTCGAATGTAACACCACGCATTTCCCTGGGGAGAAATATATGATGCCAATGAGAATCAACGAACATACATCCTCGTCGAGATATCCATCTCCGTTTTTGTCTCGGAATTCTTTGAACTGTTCACGTTCCTGAGTCACCCAGTCAGGCTCAGTTTCTCCCGGTTCACCGTGGAACAAATCTCCAATATATTCTTCCAAGGTGATCTATAAATACAGTAGTAAAATTGGCAACAAAATTTAGATAAATACTGTTGGAATACAGCGACATTTCACCCCTCGAAGCATGCGATGAAAGTACGTATTTCGATAGACAAAAGGAATCTTTCAAATCTGTGCCGCATGTTACATCGCATGAATAGATACAAACATTTGAAAAAAAAAAAAATCGGTATTCAAGTTATTGTCCAAATCGTTAGATTCACTATGAAAATTTTTCGGAAAATTTGAAGTTTCAATAATTTCTGCTTTTGTGGATTTTTTGTTTTTAAGGGTACTGCACCAAGAGCCCGTCAATTATTATATTTTCCATCTCCTACACATGTTGCGCCCACATTTTTCAAATTTGTTATAAAGAAGCTTAGTAACATCAGGCGTCGTTGAGCTTAGAAGGGAAGCGAAAACAAAAACCTGACTGAATCCTGTAAATTCAATCGCTGAAAATTAATGCGAACATGAACTCAAAATAAGGATACTTTTTCTGCGGGATAAACCTTTGTTAATACTGTTGAAAGACTGAAAAATAGAATGTTATTCTCGACCTAGTATTGCACACGGAAGCTGTGAAAATATCAAGAAAATTTCAAATTCTACTACTTCACGTGCTCAGACAAATGCCTCAATCGTCGACAATAACGCCAGGTGTCCACAAAATATACCCCAGAACGGGGAAACTTCGTGTGTCACACTGCCATTTCCGATTCGTCATCTTTGTCATCATCGCACTATTTTTGGCAGGTCATGAGGAAACCAAGATTTGACAAAAATCAAGTTCTCAGGACAATTCGACACCAATGAAGATCAAGTGGATGCCACAGAACCAAAAATTAATTAGCTCCTACGAATATCGAATTCTGTATTTACAGTACTGTACATTCGATATTTTGAACTTGAAGGTATGGGACGACTGAACCACAAACTTCAGGAAAATAACCTGACCAAATTTAAAATAACTTGAGCTAAAATAATACCACCTCAACTGAACTAATCTCATATACTGTAAAATAATTCAAAGTAAATTAGCTCCGACAGAGTTCAGAAATACTTAGGAGACAAATATGCGCACTCAATGGCAAGAAAAATTTAAAATACCAGGCGTTACAAGGAGAAATTAAAAATAATAATAAAACTGCGAGATAGAAGTTATTAAAAAAATAAACCTTTCCATCCTTATTCTTGTCGATGTCTTCCATAGTTTCGGCAACAACAATATCCTGCAAATCCGGAGATTCCTCGGGGTGCAAAAAAACCCCGAATTCTTCCTTTGAAAGGCTTCCGTCCCCATCTTTATCCGCCTTGTCCCAGCGGCGTTTGTCTTTCCGCATCATCTCAGCGTATGTTTCTCCATCACTTCCCTTGAGTTCATCTTCCGACATGCCTTGATTGAAGAGGAACCAATGTTGACTTTCATTTACGGACTGAAAATTATTCCTTACCATCTATAAAGCCATAAGACACTTTTTTGTACTGTTCCCAGGGAATGAGTTCGCTGCCGTCTGTGCTATGAGATTTCCATTGTCGATTCACATCTTCGTCAATGTATCTGGAATTCGAAATTTTCCTCTTTTTACTCACAAGATAGAGAGAAAGACCTCCCAACTTTTCAAGTAAGTTAAATTCACTCATAATTACACAGAAAATTTTCATAATTCGAATTAGGACTCATCAATTTTTCGTTCATTGTGCAGCTTTCCGGATATGCCAGTGTTCGTGTACCACTGGCGCAGATGCCTTTTCTGGCTCCCACTCTACTTAAAACTTGCGTTCAACTTAAAAAGTAAGCACCGCAATTCACGAATATAGTTTATTAAATTCAAGATGCTTGATTTTCACTTCTTCGGCGAATCGTTCAGCCAATCCATCCTTTCGCTGGGTTTAGGCGGAATTTCGAACATGGATATACTTTTTCCAACACCCTTAATTAATTCTTGGTGCAGTAATTCAGTTATGAATATTGAGTATTATTTTTAAAGTACACCACTAACAACCTGTGGTACGAGTACCACGGACTGAGAAGCGTTGTACGAAGATTTCAAACAAATTTTGCGCGAAATGGATAATTTTTGGGAATACAGTACTTATTTTCCGCAGAGAAAATAAATGATCTAGAAACAACTTTTCATTTTATGAAGAACGAAGAAATACGCTCTGAACAACTATAAATTTTGCGAAAAACAAAGAAATCAGCTAAAAACAACACTTTAATTTTGTGCAAAATAAACGAGAGAAGCTCTGAACAATCATCAATTTAGGGGAAAGCGAAGAAACAAGCGATCAACACATTTCAATTTTGTACAGAATAAACGAAAGAAGCTACTGTATCAACACCTTTAAATTTTTGGACATTAAGAAATAAGATCTTAGAACTGTCAATTTTGCGCAAAACGAAAGAAATAAGCTGTCAACTTATTTCAAACCCACAACTAAATGATAATTACTTGGGCGGAATACGGATACTGTAAAGATTCAAACCTGTGCTGCGTGTGTTTTATCCACTTCTGAAGCTCAGCCTTGTCAATAACCCCATCGGAATTCTCGTCAATCTTGTCAAATAGTTTTCCTAGCCTCTCTCGACTTTCTTCCGGACTCAAATCCTGGAACTCTTTCGCCTCTTCTTCACCAAGAAAAGCTTCGTGATCATAATCAAGGTTATGCTCGGCTCCACGGTAATGAAGTTCATCGCTCAATTTCTGGACATACGGAAACATGAGATGAAATAAACTAAAAAAAATTTAGCTCATAGAAGATTTGATGCACGCACTCTCTCGACGATTCGTTCCTTCGGTATCGCCACCCCGCTGGACATTAACACAATGCCGAACAGACAGACGATACAACTCATCCACTGCATCTTCACTTCCTAAGAAATTTGTGCAGCCCCGTTCCCTGAGATCTTTTTTTTTGTGGTTGGAAATACACGAATATTATTATATACAGCAGTCGCAACAATCAACACAAATTGAACGACCTTATTCACACGAATATGAGCATTTATTTTTACCTCCATTTTAACAGCTAAAAAACTATGCGAACTTATTTTTGCATATTCAAGCAACTTGTCTATATAAAAAATATTCTTCGCAGCCCAGAAAATGATGGATCACTTTGCTTTCTTCAGTTATTTTGGAATGCAACTGAAAAAAAGCAAACAAATGATCAACTTTTAGAACTTCCAAGATCCATGAGTGATTGATTCAAGGGGAAGAGCAAGGGTTGTGTGACACCATCTTTCCTTTCCTAGGGAAAAACCTAACTTTAGTGAAAACTTTCAATTTCCTACGAAGTTGGTCACCGAAAAGTAAGTGGGTGCTTATATTCGCGTAAATAAGGTTTTCCGCACTACCGCGCAAAATTTTCGCACAATTCGAATGTAACACCACGCATTTCCCTGGGGAGAAATATATGATGCCAATGAGAATCAACGAACATACAAGTACACACATGCAAAATTGATTTCTGAACTTAGAAACATGCTTCATTGCAATTGCGGCTGAATTCGTATCACAACACAATTCGAAGAAACCTTGCCAACAACGCTTGGCGCTCATCAAGTAATTGCGCGGAAGTCCAAGAGAATTCCACAGCTTTCCTGCCGAAATAAGTTGTTTACACGGCTGACGCTTTAAATCACAATTGAACGAATGCAAACGAAGCATGGAATACATGGTTACCGACACACAAAATTTTTTTTTCTTCTTTCCTGACCAATATCGGGCCAAACACGTTTTAACAATTTCTAGGAATGCCGATCTAGCATCCATACAAATAAATCGCACATAATTTTCATCCTGGAGTATCACAGCAGCCTGCGATGGATTCCGATCACTGATTTTATCCAACATGGATTTTTCAAGATTCCAATAGTTCGAAAACTTAAAAACCGNGGTGCTTATATTCGCGTAAATAAGGTTTTCCGCACTACCGCGCAAAATTTTCGCACAATTCGAATGTAACACCACGCATTTCCCTGGGGAGAAATATATGATGCCAATGAGAATCAACGAACATACAAGTACACACATGCAAAATTGATTTCTGAACTTAGAAACATGCTTCATTGCAATTGCGGCTGAATTCGTATCACAACACAATTCGAAGAAACCTTGCCAACAACGCTTGGCGCTCATCAAGTAATTGCGCGGAAGTCCAAGAGAATTCCACAGCTTTCCTGCCGAAATAAGTTGTTTACACGGCTGACGCTTTAAATCACAATTGAACGAATGCAAACGAAGCATGGAATACATGGTTACCGACACACAAAATTTTTTTTTCTTCTTTCCTGACCAATATCGGGCCAAACACGTTTTAACAATTTCTAGGAATGCCGATCTAGCATCCATACAAATAAATCGCACATAATTTTCATCCTGGAGTATCACAGCAGCCTGCGATGGATTCCGATCACTGATTTTTAGGTTGTACCTAAAAAGTTCTAAGGTTATCAAGCTTTTGAATTTTTGGCTGTTTTTAAGTTACCTTGCGTATCAACATTCGTGACGGCTAAAGTATTTGCAAAGGTATTTTGATCCAGACTATGGCATGAACCAGAATACTCCCTTCCCAATATTTATTTTTTTGATAAATCCACCTTTGAAAGCACTTCCGAAACCTCAACAGAATAATCCATTCCTGTCGGTCATTTTGATTCAACGTGCTAGAAAAAAATCTCGTGATGCAGGTACAAATTTGATGATTCATTTTTGTGTCGAAGACACCTACTTTTTTCTCGTCTCGATACAATAAGTTCCATCAATATCCCTCAGCTGCTCGTCGAAAAACGATATCATTGATCGCCCAAGAGCGTTATGAAACCCATTTCGAAATCATACTGTAAATCACAAATTAGTGCTTCTCGCGGGTTCATAACGCGCCACCAAATATTGGCTAGGACGGATGGCATCCATGCGATTCTGGCCCCTGCTACTGGCCCACATGAGACACAAGTAGGCCGTCGAGGCCAGTGCTGCCACAGCACTCACAATACACGCGGCCAAAAGCAAAGAATGTAAAACTGTCCGCACTTGTACGCATCTTAGTCCCAAGTAACTCAACTGTCTCTGGCCACGACGACACACACAATTCACACTCCCCTCATCTTCGTTTGAACTCAAAGAAGCCAACATTGCAGCGTAATGTTTGTCACTCGGAAGCACTGACGGTCTGACAGATGATGATGACGTGACTCGGATTTCGTCGTAATCGCGAGAAACGTCTTCGTGGTCAAGGGAGGAATCGAGAATTGAAGAAATGCTGTCAACGGGGGGAGCAGCATCAGTGGTGGCGATTTCTATGCAGTTGAAGTCGAGCTGCAGAACCAAATGGATGCCGGAGAAACCAGAGGAGCAAAGACAAGCTATCACAGAGCCAGTGCTGAATATCACACACAAGATCTAAGCAAAAGAAGGAAAAGAAGAAACGCTTCAATCAGAGGCACAGAATAAACACGCTGGGTGCAGGAGAAATCCCGCCAGAGAGAAAATTCGTAGGCCCGAAAATCTCGTCCGCCCTCCCCCCGGAGTTGACAATTATTTTTGGCAATTGCCAAATGCTGTAACACTGATACAAATATGGATGACTCTGTGCTTCGGCATTCTTGGAAGCATATAAATTTATAAAATGTCATCTTACAATGATTTTGACCATTCAAACATAGAAACCTTGTGAATAAAATTTGACTTCAAAGCTGCTGTACAGTCACACATGAAAAAAATTCAGAATTTGTCAACACACTATCGCTTACTTTAGTTACCAAAAGAGGCTTCACAGGTTATGGGATTTTCGTACCCCACGAGATTTTTAGGACCCGCGGGGTTTTCTAATGGAGCCAACACGTTATATAACTTACCTTAGTCACACGAATTGCTTCGAAGGGAAAAAGGTCGTCCTTGGGTCGACAAAGCGCGACTGCCAGATTCAACATTCCCGCTGCAACAGTCTAAAAAATATATTTTTTTCCTTTTACATAAATATGACGAACATTCTGAAAAATATTCATTCTTTTACCAAAATAATCAAAAATAGTTTGAAGAACATTTTTCTCTTTAAAAAAAAAAATCACTACGAATATTGTTCAAAAAATTAATCGAAGATTCAACGCATTCTTCAGACGTTCCTCGACCTCAACACAACACCGTAAGCTTTCAGGTCATTTTCGGCAGATAATTTAGATTCCATTGGGCTCTAATTAGGGTTAGGTAGGCATGAGCGTTTTCCTGCCTTGTTCGGGATTCAGGCGACACCTGCCCAATGTTCTGTGAAACTACGGGCAACCCCATTTTGCTGACAGTACAAACTCACAATCGCTCCACTCCAGTGGGGAATTTCGCGCTGATGAAGAGATGCTGGCATGGGAGACCATAAAAGCAGAATCCAAACTGCGAGACCAATTTGCAAGAGACCCAAAATGAGCTGCAGACAGGACAGAATTGCACCTATTCGTCGGTCATTCATGGGTCCTGACTGGCCAATCCATTGCGATATTCTACGCTTGGTGTTTCTTCCTTTAAAATAAAATCAGAAGAAAAATTGTGCATGCACTAGAACAGCTTCCAGGTCTCAGCGAAATGATGAGCGAACAACTGAGTTTAATTGTTGAGGCTACCTAATGCTTGAATAAAATACAGTATTGTTTTGCAGAAACATCTCCTCAAGAATTACTTTACAAAACGTAAAACAATGGGCCAAGGAAAACCAACGGGTTTGTTAGGGGGATTTTCATTCAGGATGGAGAATCTTGACTCAGGTGCTTTGCTTCCAAAAACAAAAAAAACTTGTTAATTAAATCCATCTCCAGCATTGTTTCTTTCATGTTTTCTCAAGTTCAGAAGTACAATAACTTGAACCTTCCAATGTCCTTTTTTTTCTAATCACTGGATTCACTGAATCAAATTCAAGTGGCAAAATTTTTTTTTCATGGAATTCTGGAGAATATTTCCTCCACAAACCACAAAACACCAAATAAAAATTATATAATGTAAGTCTATGGAAAAACAAGACTTGACTTGGGGACAATTCAACTCAAGGACACCCTTGATGCACCGATTTTGTCTGCATCTGGGGGGTCTCACTGTTATTAAATCATCAATCTGCTCACCAGGTGGATGTATTTTCGAGCTATTCACAAGCATTCTCGAATGTCGCAAACTGCTTCTGGTGGGAATATGTCTCATAGTACCCGTTTCGGTGGCAATTGTATTCTTGAGCATACACGGCGGCACAGTGGTCATAATCCCGCTGCCAGTGGACGTGTTGAGGCGACTCTCTTCCTCCTCCACGTAATTTAAAGCATCTTCTTCCTTCAGGGAAGTTTCCAAGGGCGCTGAAAAGTCTTCGCACAGGTCTTCACCAGCTCCCATGATCCCAGACTCTTCCCCGAAAAGGTAAATGTTGTTGGAATCGCTGTTCGCGATATAAACAGCGCAGGTGGGATCACTTTCGTCGTCCATCAAGGGTCGAGAGGGTTTCGGGGGTTCGGGTCTCGGAACAACTGCGGGGTCGTATCGAAAAGAACCCGGGTTCCCGAGTGCGGGTACATGGTGGTCCCAAGGAGCAGAGCTTTGTCTGTTGCATAAATCCGGCAATGCCCAGGCTTCACCCATCGCAGTCTGCAGAAATATTCGAATCCGACGCCAAATTTAGCGTCTTGGAATATTTTTATATTCTTTCAAGAATACTGTACAGTATGTACAATAGTTGCTATTGCTCAAGAGGGGGAAATTGATGATTGAAAATGTTCGACACGCGCTTGCGTCGTGAAATGTAATATTTGACCATGGATTTAATTTTTCCCAAGTACTGTAATAATTGATGATTTTCTGAAAACTGTAACAAATTTTGGGTTAAAATTCAGATAAATGCTGAAAAATTGCCGAAAGCACTCTGCAAAACGACATGGAAATAAGCATCACATGCGTCTTTCTAGTCTGAACTTTATTAAATACTGAAATTCTAATAATGAGAAAATCTTCTCAGCGACAGTTCCAAAAATCTAAAAGCAATTTTCAAATTTCTAAAAGCGTTCTCAGCCATATTAGCGTCTGAAGAGCTTAACGTGAAGGTTTTTCGTGATTCAACAAGATTTTGCCATAGTCAGGAGCACAATCACAGCAATTGAAAAATCTTCGGGCAATAAGCAAGGAATTGTTTGAAGTTGCCTTATTAATCCCTCAGTGGTTCAGACTTGAAGGATTTTGAAGAGATAATCCAGCAAATAAAAAACTTCGCTTCAATCTTCTGACAAAACATTCGAACCATTCTGCCAAAATTGATGAGACACATTATCTTCATACTGATAAACTTACCAGAGATTTCCCAAGAACTTCAGCATTCCTCGTCGCTCGCGAACTGAAACCGAAGGTTCCAGAATGATCGCGTTTCACACGTCAAATAATCACCAGAAAAAAACTTGTGCTTGAATAACACATATTTCAGTCTGAGAAAAAACGAAAAAAAAATTGAAATGATTATCTCCAGACCCCGGACGCATCCCACAAATAAATCGGCAAGCAACAGCCTAAAACACAAATTCGCCGATAGAATCGAACAATCTCGCGACACACAAGCAGAATTTCCGGGACACCTCACCTCAAAATTGACGCGCACTTGAAAGCCAAAATTAATACCTTAGTTTAATATGAGATCACGCTCATTCAAAAAATAAAATTGAAAATCAGAAAATGCCTTTCACCGAAAAAAAAATTTGAAAGCAGTCACGCAAAAAAAATTGGCCAAATAGAAAATATGATACAGATTAATTCGCCTTCCCTTTTTATTTTTGTTGTAGATTCGCTCCTATTTCTTCGATGTACACTGATTTCACATCTTTAATCACAAATCACTGGTCACTCAATCACGGCAGAACTCGAAAATCATCAGGATTAAAAGGACCTTCATTCTCCAAAAAAAAAGGAAGGTACACATGATCTCCAAATTATTTCTTCTCCGCAGCCACAACTGAAGGTTTTTCAACGAAATCCAACTAAAAAAAGCTGGTTGAGTCAGTGATAATTTGCTCCCATTCCTGATTATTCAGCAATTATTTAAAGACGGGTGAAATCGAAAATGAGCGATTCAGAATCTCAAGGCGTCGGAGAGTCTGAGGAGCGGATGAAGAAGGAGTCTCTTATGAATGCTAGCGAGTGGTTGCAGGGGTACTTTACCTTGAAGGAAAAAAGGACTTTGGAAGACAAAGACATACCGATATATCTCGATTCCATAGTAAGATAATTCAACCGTTTCTAATCTCTCACATTTGAATTTAAAAAAATTCTTTGTCAATTCTGAAGGGCTGGCTAGCGAGCCAAAGACTCGGCGAATATGCCAAGCGTCATGCGAAACATGAATTTGTGGACTCGAGATATGAGGTAAAGCAAATTACCACTTTCTCTTCTGTCTTAATCATTTTTTGGTTTCACATTGTGCAATCACGGGTTAAAACTACATCCTTGATAATTATCAACATGTCTATGCATTTCAAGTACAATATGGAGTAGCAAAAGAATGATGACCATTGATCTTGATAAACTTTGCTGCATTCTGATATTTTCAAAGCTTAACTTTGCCAAAAATTCGTTATTCACAATAATCGGAAGATTGCTAGACTGTCTCAGTCAAACCTCTTTACATAAAACGGATACGGACCCACAAACAATTTGATTTAGGGAGTCATGGAGTTTAATTATTCAGAATTTCCATTGAAGAAAAAAATAAAATTACAGCAAGTTGAAATTCGTGACATTCCGGGGCTTAAATTTTTGGATCGATGATTCAGCAAACCCCTCCACATAAAACTGATATGGACCCACAAACAATCTGACTTAAGAAGTTCAATTATTCAGAATTACCATTTAAGGAAAAAATAAAACGTACAACGAATTGAAATTCATGACATTCTGGGCTTTGAACTGTTGAATCAATGATTTGACAGGATGCTGAACTTGGAGACAAGGTTACATTTGTCCAATTAGTCATTAATTTTTTTTTTGCATTTTTATTACTCTTCTTTATCATGTGTCCCAAGGATAATAGCCTGAAGGCCTGTCAAAATTTAAGTTAGGGAGGTATACTCTTATAAAGGGTCGACTTTCCATGCATCAATCTTTTCAACGACTATTTTATCTATATAAAGAATACGGTCATTTCTTTGGTGCCATCCTTTCGATAGATGTCGATACAGCAAATTGTTTCTGGTCCCCTGAATTTATTTCAGAGCGAGTCTACCTGAATTAATCTGCCCCCAAGAAAATTCAGACGAAAGACTGAGCAAAAAATCGAAACAGGCAGGTTTTTAGACTTGGTTCAGGTTAAACTTGGCAAGGTCAAACTGTGTATTATTGATCCAATTTTTGGGGATTAATTTTGGATTTCCTTCTTTGACGAAAAAGGGCTTGCATACAGACTTCCCAGAATATGAGCCACACCTGTCGCAGTTGGCCAAAGAATCATACAGTGGAATCCTGAGGAGACAGCTGATGATTTGGATAGTGGTTGTGCTCACTGCATTGGTCATTGCCTGTGTGGCTGCTCTACTAGACATAGGAACTGGGTTTTTGCAACACACCAAGTTCTCAACTGTTGCTCATGGCAAGTATACTTTTTTTTTTCAAGATACAGTTGAACTTAAATAAACCGAACATCCCTATGTCAATTATTTTCAAGCCCCTGTCTGAATTCCCTTTTTTTTTTTAAACCATCAAAAACCTCCTTCACCTATTCCCTGCCATGGGCCCATCTGAGACTCTTTGCTTTTTTTGCCACGCAAAATAAAAAAAGATCCCAAAAATTTTTGAAAAATCTTACTCTACTCCTTAGAAAAGTTACCTTAAGTTGAGACCTCATTTTTCAAAATTTTTACATTTTTCATAGTACAAGAACAAGATTTCTGAACACAACTCTCAGATCGAATTTGGGTCAAACATTGAGAATATTTTTGGATTGCAAGAAAAGTCCTTTCTAATGTGGCTAAATTCGAACATTTAGTACTTCAGTAGAAATTCCTTTCTACTGCGGCTAAATTCGATCATTTAATACTTCTTGGTGCAGTACAAAATGAGAGGGGACCCGTCATGAGCCCGATTTCGGGATCAAACTAAAATTTATAATATTTGAAAAAAATTGGCTTTGAACAAAATTATTCTAGCTTAATGAATCCTTTCCTCCAAGTGCAGCCTCCTGTCAAACAATTTAGAAAGTAATTCCCAGAATATCACCAATCAAAATTTCCTGCAATTCTTCGTTATTCCTCCACCACAACAAAAAGCTTGTTTTTCCCACTCAAATCCTAACTAACTCGAATATTGCCAAAAGAAAAAGGTGAAGGGGTTCAACTAACTGTATTGAAGAAAAATTCAAGGGGTAGGAGGGCTCATGTTCATTTCTTTCCATTTCTAGTGATGAATTACTACTGCGATCGTTCAGGCGGTTGCTTCATTGCCGTGGCACTTTGGATAGCCTTTGTAGTAGGATTCGCCCTCTTTTCTACAGCACTGGTCACCTTTATTGAGGTGGGTGCAACAATTTTCTGTCAAAATGACCACAGTATTCGTTACAGTATTGTATACTTACAAAGAAAACTAATCAACACCCATTTCGGAATCGTTCATTCAATCACTTTTCTGCAATACAGTACTGTAGTTGTACCCCGTTTAACGGTCAATTGATAGCTTTTTCATTTTTTTTTTTGCGGACTCAGCCAAAAGCAGCTGGCAGCGGTTTTGCTCAGGTCAAGTCGTACATGAATGGACTACGAGTTCCTTTCAATCAGCATTTCAAGGTTTTCGTCGTCAGAGTGGTTGGACTGGCGTTTGGAATAGCTGCTGGGTTAGCAATTGGACAGGTACACACGGTTATCAACTCATCATTAAAAGCAAAATAATCGCGTGGGCCACGAATGTCATGAAATTTAAATTTTTTTTTGAAAATAATGACTAGGAAAGATGCAGTACAGTATTGTAATAGGAAAGAGGAAAATCCATCATCATCAGAGCAATTGCTGATTTCCGGGTTGCGAATAGAGATTAGCAACAGTTTTCGCCTTTCCGGCCCAGAAAAAGAATCAATTTCAGCCGTCTACAATTTAATCGTAAGTTTCCTCACGCGCCGAAAATGTGCGGTTTTCTTCTCATTTTACATTAGTTTACCTCCATTTTTTTCAAAAAAGTTTGAATGACATTTTGGCCAGGTTAAAATTACATTGATCCTGGCATTGACCCGGTGAACACAGGAGTATTTTCGGCACGCTTTGGCAAGCCAAAAAATTTTCAGTTGCTCAGATGATGAAAGGATATCATTTGTCTCATCTGTCGTGATTTAATTTTAAATTGGCGACATTCTAGGAATTTCAACTTCAAGATTTGCAAAAATGTCGTTAACAAATTTCCGAGCTTTCAATAGCAAATTAATACTGAATAACAAAAATATTTGTACCTCGATCAAGTTGAATCTTGACCAAAATCAATACCGTACTGTATTTACTCAAGTACCTTGCGCATATATTTTCCGAAGTTCGGAGCAAAAAGCAGAATGCATTTAGCAGGCAGATAAACAACTGAAATTTTGAAAAGAAATGCAGAGGTTTTACAGGTAAGAAAGTCACTTGGTTAGGTTCTAAATCTTGAGCAAATTTTTCTGAAATAAATTTATTGAAAATAATTAAATCATTCATTTAAAATAACATGGCGGATTAAATAAGATAAGACAATAAAAATGAATCTTGAAAAATCAAGAATTAGAATTAAATTCCAGGTCTAAATTCAACTTTTACCTAGTTTATTTCTACAATGCAGTGAAATTTTCAGCGACTCAAAAGCGGGATGCGCTTCTTCATCAGACACACACTTATTTCAAAATTTTAGGCCAAAAATTAAATTGCGCTTCACATTCGAGGGCGCGTGGAACAATTACCCTAGTGAATACGAAAAGTCGCTGTTCCGGAAAATTCTAATCATGGATAATCTTCAGGAAGGCCCCATGATCCACGTCGGGGCTTCAATCGGTGCCGGAGTGGGATACGGAAGACACAGTTTCTTGTACGAAAAACTCAAAGTTCAAATGCCCGGTACGAGACTTTTGCGGTACGACAAGGACAGAAGGTTCTTCACTTCAATGGGTGCAGCTGCTGGACTCGCCTGTGCTTTCGGCTCACCCTTGGGTAACTTTTCAAGAATTGAAAATAAAATTATAAAATGTACATGAATTCCATCAAAAATTGCGTCTCTCGACCAAGACCGAAAATAATACAGCATCATTTCGACCAGGTGGGCTTTTGTTCATGATGGAAGAAGGAGCAAACTTTTGGAAATTTTCCCTCACGTTCAAGGCCTTCAGCTGTTGCGTCCTGACAGTGCTCTTCTACAATGTCATCATGACTCGCTACGAGATGTCGGACTCGAAAAGTTTGCACGTCATCGGGATCTTGAACCTGGGCACATTTCCGGGGATCCATTTCTCTTTCGTAGACATACTAGTTTGTATCGTGCTCGGTGCACTCGGCGGGGTTATCGGGGCAACTTATATTTTCCTCAACGGAAAATTGGCAAACTTCAGGAAAAAGTAAGTGTTCAACTCCATTTTCGAAAACACTTCGTCTTCATGAGCGGTTATTGAACACATTTTACAGACTGCATCCACGTGTAGGAACATCCGCATGTAAGATCACAATTTCCCATCGACTTTGATGAGGAAATTTTCGATTACTCGATCACGTTCGAAAAAAAAAATCTTTGAAAAGCCCATAAAAATTGCAATTAATTTCTTTTCCAACACTAAGATGCAGACAATTACTGCGCAAAAGAAACTTGCGCAGAATCCCACCCCCCTCAGTATCCAAATGCGTCAAAAACGAAAAAAAAAAAAACGAGCAGGCATATCGCTATACTCCACACAATTGCTTGAAAAACGTCTAGAAGGAAAAGCAGAAAAATTAAAATGATTTCGAAATTACTGTACAGTACAGTACAATAAACGTAAATAAATTGAAGATACCATTTTATTTTGACTTCACGTTCAAGGTAATTGTTCAATTCTTTCAAGCTACGTCAAAATTCCGTAACATACAGTTGAACTTGAATAACTCAAAACTCCCAAGTTTTTCCCCATTTTAGATCTCTGTCTAAATTCCCTGAGAAATGCACTAAGTATTAGAAGCCTACTAATTGAAACCCCCCCCCCCCTCAAACCTCTAAGCCAAATTTTCTGCAAGAAATTTTGGAAATTATTTTCGCGACCCAGGAAGGAGAAAAGTAAAAAAAGTAATTCAATGCTTTTCAAAAAAAATTACTAATTCAGCAAAAAATATTTGTTCCCAATTACTTTTTGCTGTACAGCAGCCTGTCAACTTATTCACACCGCATTTTGGCCCAAAAAGATCGATAATTCCAATTTACTTTGATCATGTTTTCATGAAAAAAATGCAGTTTCCTCAACTTGAAACCTCCGTGTAATTTGAAGTGAAATTGTTCTACTGGTCCCTTGGAATTTGACTTGAAGAGGTTCAATTGCACTACAGTTATGCAATCTCAGCTTTCACGAAAGGGTTCGAGGGTGGCCCCTTGATAACTCGGATATCTTCATCAGTCGAATTTCATCAACTCTCTCTGAATTCCCTTAGAAAGAAGGCATTACAAATCTCTCCAACTCAATGCCTTTTCCTTTCAAATCTCCGTAACGCGAATTTTTTTAATGCTTTTTGGTTATAATTTTCTTGAAACAGGAAAGGAAAAATGAATAAAAAAGGGTTTTGAAAAGAAATGAAAGACTATCTCGTAAAACGAAACCCTGCCTCCAAGTTGAGTATCCTGACAACTCATTTAAAAAGCAATTAAAGGCCCGGAATGTCAACACGTGAAAATTCCTGCAATTATTTCATATTTTCCAAAACAAGAATACTAACTCAAAAAATATCCCTAACTCGATTTTTTCGCTGGTCCCTTGAAATTCGACTCAGAGGAGTTCGAATGTAAATATTCGCACATTTTTTGCCATGGTAAAAATTAGCATTTTTTCCCCGTTACTTCTGGGATTGAAGGTACGTCAGCAACAAGTACATCAAGATGGTGGAGGTTGTTTTGGTGGCAGTGAGCATAGCAAGCATTGCTCTGACCTGCTTGATCTTCTCCAACGAATGCATGGACCTGTCTAGTCTACACGGGTCTCCCTTGGTCAGGTCCAGAGAGGTATGGGAGAGTGGCTCCAGAGTACCTTCTCTGGTGGACCCCGTGTACCTCAACTGTCCACCGGGTACCTTCAACGTCATGGGCAATGTTTGGCTCAGGCCGGGCCCGTATTTGCTCAGAGGCCTGTTCCACGACCCACCAGGTACCCCAAATATGCATACAGGTAGACTCTCTCACTCTCTTCACAACGTGTTTCTTCGTGCAACGAATTTTTTTTCGGGTACCATGGACAAGTGGTCTGCAACCCGTGATCCGGATTTTGTTTTGTTTTGGTTATCTTCATCTGAAATAAGCTGGAGATGACCAGCCACACCAGGGCATCAAAATTTCTCACGTTCTCACTAAGTTTGAATTTTCCATCAATCGCAATCCAAATTTTCTCGTGAGTGAGGGTTTTGTTTTTTAAAACCCGAACAAAGGAGAAAGTCTCTGAAATTATCTCATGGCAATTAAAATTTGGCCTTTTGCCTAATGCCACTTCAGACAAAGTTTCACCGGCTCAATTACAGAAGAATTCCGTTACAACGAATCTCTTTATAATGAAGTGATTTTAGGCTGTATTTTCATAACGAATTTTTGGCATGATTCTGTGCATAACCCACATAGGGATTACTCAATAAATGGCAGAGATTGTTGAAGAAATTGTTGGAACATTAAAACTTCATAAAAAATTAATTTTTATAAAAAAAAACTTGCTGTCCAATAAAATACACAACAGGACATATTTTTGGAAATTCTTCAGCGCATCCATTTTAGAATGTATGCCTTTTAAAATAAACAGTATGTTAAAAGAATGCTCCTCTGTTTGAAAGAGCCATTAGTGAAAATGTGGATTGAGAAGAAAGTGCAGTATTTTTGCCATATGTAATTTTTTTTATTTATTTCGCACAACAAGCAATTCTTCAGTATGAATGTTGGTTCATTTAAAGGAGAGTACCATTTATATCAAAGGATTTCCCTTCATTTCATCAGAAGTACTCAGTACTTATGCTAGTTCTTGAATCATCTGTTCTAGAAGCATTTCAAGGTATGTATTCCCCATTTTCAATAAAATTGCAGTCTGAAATATGCTAAAATCATTAATCTCAATAAAATTGCAGTCTGAAATATGCTAAAAATCATTAATCTCAATAAAATTGCAGTCTGAAATATGCTAAAATTCATTAATCTCGATACTACGAATTTTTCAATATAACGAATTTTTTCCCAGGTCCTCAGGATTTTTCCATTCTGAGAAATGTTTTTTGAAGCCCAGCTTTCCAATTGTCGGAAACATTCCCCTATAACCGATTCATCGGTTCTTAACTTGATTTTTGGAATAGAGGTATGGTTTTGGTGACTGATATCATGGCAGGTATTAAAAAATGTTCCGCTGGTCTGAACATTTTTATGGAAATTTGCCAGTCCGTGTTCCCAAAAAGCTTAGGAACACTGCATAGAAGTTATCCGTAAAAAAAAATCCTGGTCCCTTGAATTTCGCTGTACAGAGAAGAGAGTCCACCTGTATACGCCTTTTTTTTTAAAGACAAATAAATCAAGATACAACTGGTGAAACAGAGGGTGTTACTGTACTTTGAAGGAACATATCCGGTCAGAGTAATCGGCCCTTTTTCACTCATCTGGATCTGTTTGAGTTGCTGGTGTCTGGGACTCGCTGTTCCGGCTGGACTCTTTGTTCCAAACCTCGTGGCCGGGGCTTCCTTTGGCAGACTGCTGGGCGAAATAATTTACCCACATTTCAAGGATGTGAGGGTTTCACTGGTCTAAGGGATTTAGTCACTGCTCAAAATTATTGTCTTTACACCCTTTATATACGAAAAAAGGGGGTTAAATTGAGGCGTGCGTCACATTCGGATACATATTTTCAAGGAAAAACTTTCAAAAATTGAATATTTTCTCTCCGCTTTCAAAAGCATCATTTTTCAGAGTAATCTTCAATGATTCTATGATTTGCAGAAGAAAAAAATCCACCCTATTAAGTATGCTCAAATTTAGATTTTTACCCAACAACGTTTTTTCGAACAGGAATCTTGGTAACTGAGAATTGAGGTACGCGTCTTCTGCAGGGATACTGTATATATTTTTTTTTTACAAAATTTTAGCTCAAAATCCAAGGCGCGTTTATCTCAAGAATACATTGTAAATGATTCAATTTGTTCGAGAAACTCATCGAAAGACCACAATCAACAATAAAATTCGTGTGTTTTACACAATAGCATTGGTAGCGAAATTAACTTCCACTGGTTTGACATTGAAGTCATAGACAATTTTGAGCTTTTGAATTACTGAATTTCATAAATTTTGAAGGCATGAATAAGCTCAAGTAAGACATTATTTTCCCATTTCCATCGAATTTTCAAAAGAATCCAAAAAAGTTTGAATTCAACAGCATAACTTTAAAAAAGTTTAAATTCAAAATTCGATTGCATTCGACATTTTTTTTCAACAACAAAATTGTATGTGTGAATTTTGCTCTGTGAGTCAATTTTCAACCCCAAAATAATTTCGAAATGCAAATTCCAATTCAAGTTACTTCGAAGACAAGGAGAAGCAAAAATGAGTCATTTCCCACATCTCCTTCAAATTTTCAACAAATCTTCAAAACGTTTAAACTCACCATTTGAAGACACATTTTCGCGCTTCAATTTTTCAGCCCTGAAAAATGTCAAAATTTTCATTCTACGTGTCTTTCGTAAACCTGGGACTCATTTGATCTCGTTAGGACTGGTGCAGGCCAGAGAAAATGGCATTCTGGGGATCAGTAGCAGTGCTGAATGGCATCGTGAGATACTATTTGGCCCTAACCGCGGTCTTCGTGGAGTCCACTGACACTCTGATCCTCGGGTTCCCCATCATGA